GAGCACGATAACCTTTTTTTTTTTTTTTTTGTCTATAACCACGACTACAAACGAGAGACTAAATGTACAATAATAATAATAATATTAATAATAGTAATAATAGTAATAGTAATAATAGTAATAATAATAATAGTAATAATCGCGACACGTTTTTACTTGTATGTTTTTTCCCCTCCCATTTCCATTTCCATTCCTCTTTCTTTCTTTCTTTCTTTCTCTTTCTAACATTTTCATCATTATTATCATTATTATTAACATTTTTTTTTTTTTTTCGTTTTTTCTTTTTTTCTCTCTTTTTTTTTTAAAGCTTATATATAAAAAAACTTTACATATTATATATATATGGTGTGTGTGTGTGTGTGAGCCAAACTCGTAGATATGTAGAGACAAATTAACTGAAAATATCATTTTTCGAATTTGATATTTACGATCCGACAAAATTAAAAAAAAAACTAACTAACTAACTAACTTACTAAAATTTCTTCTCACCTAACCGTGAATTACAAAAAAAAAAAAAAAAAAAAACCTTTTTTAACCTTTTCATCATTAAATAATAATAATAATAATAATAATAATAATAATATGAAATAATTACAATAACAATAAGTTTTAAAAGTACCACGAAAAAAAAAAAAAAATTTTCTTTCCTTTTTTCCTTTTCCTTTTCCTTACCTTTTTTTTATACAAAATATAAACCTTTACTTAAAATTATTAGGGGTCGAATAAACCCCCCCACAAAATCATGCAAAAAAAAAAAAAAAATGTCTTTAAAGCAAATATCAAAAAATAATAATAATAATAATAAGAAAAGGGAGATTGCTCGAGAAGCAAACAAACAAACAAACAACCAAAAACCTATAGTACGCTAATAATAATAATAATAATAAAAGAAAATTTTTTTACAATGGTATTTTCCCTCCCCTCCCCCCCTCGTGCAAAAAAATGAGAGAAAGAGAAAGAGAAAGAAAAAGGGAGAGAGAGAGAGAGAGAAAAGCAAATAATTCCTACTGGCACGATTTGGTACGATAATAATAATAATAAAAAAAGGAAACGATTGAAAAGACGACGTAAACGACGACGGAAAAACACGTATTGCCAACTTTACGACAACAAAAAAACTGAAACTTTTACCGGGTTTGGAAGGGCGGAAAACTCAATTTAAAGAACCGAAAAAAAAAAAAAAAAAACTTAAAATTACGAGAAACGAGATATTTCCATTTTTGGAGCAACAGTCTTTCTTTTTTCTATTTTTTTCCTGGACTCTCTTTAAGGAGCACCAACGTGAAAAAATTTTAACACATTTTTTTTTTCCTTTTTTCCTTTTTCCTTTTTTCTTCCAACAGCATTTCAATTTTGTTGAATTAATTAATTATTTTTTGCAGTCAAAGAGATCGAATGAAAAATCAAATAGATCTGATAAACCTTCATCTGGTCCCAGTCGAAATAGGTATTCGTCTTCCAACGGTGGAGGTTCCAATGATAAAAATTGCTCTTCGCTCAAAGTTCCATCCAACTCTCCGACCATTCGTCCTGTAATAAATTGAAGAAAAACTTAAATTAATGATGATAATACTACTTCATTTCGAGGGAAAGAGAGAGAGAGAGAGAGAGAGAGAGAAAAAATGCAAGAAAATGGTTAGGAGCAGCCCCCAAAGCGGAGAAACGAGCCCAACAGGACGAGCTGAATCCCGTGGTGCTTCACCAATTTTTTTTGTCAAATGGAGCTCCACAAGCTTCAGATTGTCCTGATGCCTTTTAAATGCTTTTTTTGTTATTAAAAAAAAAAAAAAAAAAAAAAAAAAAAAAAAAAAAAACAAAACAAAACGGAAGTCGTTAAAAAAAGCGGTAGCGTTCAAAAGCTCAACGTTTTCAAAATGGCGTCAATCGCCCTCATCTCGTAATATGTTCAAGCCAAAAAAAAAAAAAAAAAAAACGTTTCAAAAAGGACAAAGGTTAAATTTTACCTTTTCTTTTCCCCTTTTGACCAAAAAAATCATCATTATTATTACTATTAAAATTCGTTACCTTTTCCCACGGGGATGATTATTCGTACGTTTTATTTACATGATGATCATGGGGGTGGGGGGGGGGGTAGTAGTGGTGATGATGGTGATGATGATCGTGACGATGATGATGATGATGATGATGATAGCAAATCAAAAAACGAACTAGAATTCGCCTGTGATTTGATTGTGAAAAATAAACGTACAATTCACAAGAGGAATTCTAGTCGTTTTCCCGATTCCAAAATGCTCGTGAAGAAGTTATCATTATTATTATTATTATTACAATGATTCTCTTGCGTTACGCGACAAATGCATCCCATTTTGGTGGATTTTACGCATTTTATCGCGAGTACGAAAAAAATAAAATTAAACATAATAATTTGGGATTAGGGTGTTAGGCGGGCGGCAATGCAAAGCATCCATATCACACCCACAAAAAGACACGCCCAAAAAATTATTATTATTATTATTATTATAGCTTTTTCATTCAAGACAGGAGGAAGGAAAGGGGAAACCGCAAGCAAAGCAATCAAGGCGAACACGCATAACCGTTTCTCATGTTAATAATGATTCTCTTCAATCTCTTCGAAATCCCAACAGGAAGGGATCGAAGGGTTCGTTACTCGAATTCGAATTCGAAAAAAAGGTAAAAAAAAAAAAAATTTAGAATGAATTACCGGAAACTTCCGAATGTTGATCTTCGGTTTGCAATTGGAATCTACCTCCCATTGGCCCGAAATCATCCGTTTCCGATATTAAAACATTTTTGAACCTGGAAAGCTCTGAACTAAGATCCGTATTATCCGATTGAGGTTCTTCTTTAATGCCAAGCTCGGGAATAAGATCTGAAATTCAAAGAAAGACAAACGCACATTGGAAATTTTCATAATAATAACAATAATGATGATGATGTAGGGTAATCCATACCTAAATTAGATACCGAAGGCCGCAACGGTGAATTATTATTCGATTTTTCATCCGCGTTACTCGTCGCCGGATACTCGTCTACTTCATCAGGACAAATAAATACTTCGATTTCACTATTTTCACTTTTCATGTACATTTGCAACGCCTGTTAACAGCAAAAAAAAAAAAAAAAAAAAAAGTTTTGAAACAACAACCATCGTTTGTTTTGTTTGTTACATCTCTCAACGCGAAATCGTTAAACCGACGGATTTCCGTTAAAGTTAAGTGAGAATTCTCTCCCATAATTCGTTAACGTATTCGACTGAATGTATTGGCTGGTAGCCATTTCCTTTCTAAAATTCTAAGCCTACTCATCAATAATAATAATAATAAATCTGCTATTAATTTTCGTCGTCGTTGACAATTTTCAATTTTTTTTTTTTTTTTTTTTTTTTGGTTCCGTAGACCGGAAGTTCATTCAAAGCTCGACGTTGAGAAATTGTTTAAGTATATATATATAGATGTACACTTCTATTACCTTACTCGGATCGGGCACTCTTAATTTGGCTTCCGGTGGAGCTTTTATAACCATCACCGTTTGATTTTTGTAATAAGGAATGTTCCTCAAATCCTCGTACGTGACATATGCAAATCTTTTGTCTTCCGTCAACTGCCTCAATTCTTTTTCGGCATTTATTATTAATCTATCTAATTCATCCTCTCGTCTTTGCAATTCTTGAATAACGCCATCCTTTGAATTATCCTCTTCGCCCCGTGATTTATCGCAAAAATCAAAACCCCGAGGACTGCCCCTACGAAAACAAATAATAATAATAATAATAATAATAATAATAATAATAATCATTACAGCCTGCTTGCGACGTGACGTGTTTATTTAATTTATCCTCATCACCTCCACTGAATGTTATTTTTGCTTTTCTTTTCCAATATTCCAATCCCTTCTAGAACGTTAGTGATGTCGTATATTCTTCTTTTTTGAACTTCAAGCGTTTCAGATGCCACGTTTAAATCCACCACGCCGTCTGGGGAGTCTTTTAAAAGCGTCACGAATCTTCGCGTTAATAATCCTAGTGAAGTGTCGTACCTGTTCGAAGGTTTTCCTGAATTCGAACAAAAAAAAAAAAAAAAATTCAAATTTATACACGAAATCAACAATCGATATCAATGACGATGATGATGATCGTTCTCCCCTCCCGCTCGTCTTTACCTTTTCCCGTGGGACTCGGAGAAGAAGCCTGGCTAACCGATGCCACAGAACTTGTAGAATTTGTTCTCATTCTTTTCGCCGAGCTGGGTGTCGATGCGTTCGGAGTTTTAAATTCGGACGATGGTAAAATCGATATTGACCCGTCTAAATTTAACCTTCGCTTAACCAGCTTTAAAAAAAAAAAAAATAAATAAATAAAATTATTATTTATTACGTATAATAAATTTCAAGTCGTTAAGAATAATAATAATAATAATGATAATAATGATATTAACGCGATATTCCTTTTAACCCATGCATAATGGTTAAAAAAACGAATACATTTACATGGATATAAATTTTTTTTTTTCTTTCGTACCCCCAAAGTGACACTCCCTAAAACTGACAACCACAACGTTCGGCGCTCATCACCCGGGGGGGGGGCAGGGGGAGGGGAATCTCATTTAGAAAACGCACGATTTACACTTTTTTTTTTTTTTGTTGGCAAAACTTTGGGGAGAAACGTTTTGGAATCGTTTTCGAGCGGATGATCAATTACAAATCATCGACTCGGGGCAAAGACATGTAAAAAAAATGACGTGTGTGTCCATATGCATACATATATGCGTGGTGTGTGTGTGCGTGCGCGCGCGCGTGTGAAAGTCGTCGAGATGTCTGTCCGCGTGGAAAGGAAACCAAAAAAAAAAAATTTTTTTTTTTTTTTTTTAATCACTCATTAACTCGCGATTAAAATGCAACGCGGTCCAAATGATTTATAATGCTATCACGACGCTCGCTCGACAATTTAACTGATAAACGATAATAATAATAATAATAGTAATAATAATAACAAATATATGCTATGTGAGTTTGTAAACGGATTTTTTTTTTTTTTTTTTTTGCAAATTTTACGACGACTCCTTTTTTTTGTGTTCCTTACTTGGTACAGAACTTACTTTGAGGTTGCAAGTGGGAGAGAGAGAGAGAGAGAGAGAGAGAGAGAGAGAGAGAGAGAGAGAGAGAGAGAGAGAGAGAGAGAGAGAGAAAGAGAGAGAAAATTCTCTCTCAAAAAAAAAAAGGATGGTGACGACTTACGTTTGCCTCCGTTCTCGAAGGAATCCTAATAATTTGATTTTGAGGGGTTTGACCGTAGCCGTGATCCAAGAGGTGATACATGGGACTCGTGTGCTCCATATTGACCTCTGCAAAAATAAATAAATTAATTAATTAATTAATAAAAAATTATAAAATTATTATTGTAAAAAAAAAAAAAATTTTCATTACACTTTATTTCTCTTGCATTTTTTTTTTTTTTTTGTTGCAAGTGAAATCATTTGTTTGCCAAACAATAAATTTTTACACTCCCCGAGATTTGTTTTGTTTTTTTTTTGATGAATAAAAAATTACTTAATTCATTTACGACGACTCGGGTAATTATTATTATCATCATTATTATTATTATTATTCAGGTGTTCTTTTGAACGTACGTACGCAAACGTTTCATTCCAAATGGGTAGGTTGGTAAAAATTGCACAAAAAAAAAAAAAAAACAATTCCGAATAACTATGAAATCACATTTTTATTAAATATTCAATATGGTAGGAGGACGCATCGTCGTCGTCGTCGTCATTATTATTATTATTATTATCATCATCATCATCATTATTATTATTATTATTATTACATAAAAGTTACACATTGCGAAAAGTAGTGATTTTTTTTTTTTTACTTATGTCATTGACTTTTCAAATACCGACGAGACACACATTTTGTCGATTGTAATAACTGACGACACCGTTGTTAAAACCCACACGCACTCACACGCACACGCACACGCACATAACCAAAAGTTTGCACGCAACAACAAACGACGAGCGCAATAATAATAAATAATAATAATGATATTAAACAAGAATCGACGTTTTAAATAAACGCCGCTTACAGACACGTTGGTAAATAAATAAATAAAAAAATTATTATTATTTATTAATCGACGAGTGGAAATACAAAGAAAACAACCAACTTTTTCAATTTCTTCGGGGGGCAGAAGAGAAGGAAGGAAGGAAGTATGGAAAGGAGAGAAAGAGAGAGAGAGAGAAAAAAAACGTGGCGACCGCGGTTGTCAAGTGACAAATCGACTTATATATACACACATACTCGGAGTAACTCGCCATTTGACACTTCTCAATTTCTTTCCACATGTCATCAAAATTTATAGAATGATATTATTATCTAAACGGATTAATATTTCTAAGATTTTCATTTCGTTTCGAGTCCATAGAGTAAAAAAAAAAAAGAAAAGGACAAATTAATTTTTAACGACCGTAAATTTGACAGCAAGAGAGACAGAAAGAGAGAGAGAGAAAGAAAAACAAAACGTTATGAAAATATGACGGGATCTCTGTAAGGAATTTGTTCGTTTTTTTTTTTTTTTTTTAATTAAAAAGTTATGCCGTGAAGAAACCGAACAAACAACAAAAACAACAACAACGTAAGTGGTAGAAGAACAACAACAACAAAAATTCAACGATTTTAAATAACGACCGCATTTTTTCCTTTACTCCCTTTCTCTCTCTCTCTCTCTCCCCCCCCTTCTTATTACATCAATTTACTCCAATTTCCCCCCTTTCCCTACCCGACAAAAATGAAAAGAATAACGACAAACCGTCAGGGAAAAATGCTACAACCGCAACGTGGCTATTGCCACGTCAGAATCGCTGCTGCTACTACTGCAAAAAAAAAAAATAACACCACGTCTAAAAGTGGTAAGCGATAGTCAATTATTTATTGAGTCGACAAACAGATAAGCCACGAATAAAATTTTGTCGCATTTTCGATTTTCGACATTTTTTTAAAATTTACAAAAAAAAAAATTTTGTCGCCAAACTACAAAACTCAGTTAGAGAAATAAATACAAAAAAAAAAAAAAATAATCGTATTCAAGAAAATTTAATTTCTTTAAAGATTTTAATTTTTTTTTTTTTTTCTTTTTCGGTTGATTGGTTGGATTCTTTCACAGTAAAAAAAGGTGTACGCACAAAAGAATTAATAATAATAATAATAATAGGGATAATTTATAAGAGTTTGTTGCGCACAATAGAGACCAACAACTTTACCTTTGGGGTAAAGAGATTTTTTTCTTTTCTTTCTTTCTAAAAAGGAGGGTACCGTTCGGTAAACTTATAATCGAAAACCTTTTCTTTAACGTTTTTTTTTTTTTTTTTATATATTTTTTAAATAGACCCGAACCGAACCGAACCGGGTAACTAAAACTAAAGAGGAGAGAGAGAGAGAGAGAGAGAGAGAGAGAGAGAGAGAGAGAGAGAGAGAGAAAGAGAAAGATTTAAATGGGGCCCCGTGTGTTAAAAAAAGAAAGAAAGAAAAAAATCCGTTTGTTGTTGTTGCTTTTTTGTCGATAAAATTTTTTTTTATACTCCAGTCATTAACCTTTACAAAATAATAATAATAATAGTAATAATAATAATAATAATAATAAATGGTGAAAAATTTTTTTTATTTTTTATTTCGACTTTAAAAAAAAAAAAAAACTTGAAATGAAATACGTTTTGGCGTATAAGATTCCAAAAAAAAAATTGGATCATTATCATCATCATCGTTTTTCTCCCCCCTTCCCTCTCCTTCCCTCCCCCCGTCTGGAAACGGTACGATGTTATGGAAATTTAAAAACTACGATTGTTGAGGTTTTCCTTAATGCAAAAGTGAGAGAGAGAGAGAGAGAGAGAGAGAGAGAGAGAGAGAATCAGTAACCACGACGAGAAAAATTTTAACGATTAAAAATTCAACAGAATTTCATGACGCAATGAATTGATAATAATAATAATAAAAAGTCGTTTTTAAAATTGGGGTAGCACCTGGAAGTAAAAATTATTAAGAAAAGCAAAGATCTCAATTGTATTTCTTTTGCGGGGTTGAAAAACTCAAAAGGGAGCCGTCACAGTCAGTCGTGGTACTTGCGTAAAGGGAAGAATTTAGAAAAAAAAACCCTCGCGCATCCCGTGACCGATATAATAATAATAATAATAATAATAATAATAATAATAATAATAATAATAATAATAAGAGTAGTAATAGTAATATTAATAATAATAATAATTTTTTTTGCTTTTCGAACTCTCGGGGTTGAGCAAGAAAACCGTTTTATCCACATCAAGTCTAAGGTTTAAGAAGAAGAAGAAGAAGAAGAAAAATTTCCAAAATCGTTTTCGAGTAAAAATAATAATAATAATAATAATAATAAATGAAGCATCATCGCTCCCGTCCCTTCTTGGTAGAAAAAAAATTTTTTTTTCTCCCTCTTCTCTCTCTCTCTCTTTAAAACATTTAAATAACGATGATGATGTGCGCGGATGGTGTGTGCGTGTGCGTATGTAAAAAAAAAAAAAACTCGTTTCTCGTTGGTCACCCCTGTAGTATGCTATGCTAATGGGTAAAGAAAATGGTGTCGTGGAACCCTGACTTAACCGTCATTCACGCGTGCAATGGTATCCTGCATCATTGTTTACGTCTCACACAGATGGAAATTTTTTTTTACCTGAATTTACAATTCAAGCGAAAAATAAATCATTGACGAAAACGTAACACCAGAAGAGGCATACACGCGCACGCGCACACGCACACGCGCACACACACACACGCGAAAGCGCGTAAAAAAATTACGAAATTTCACATTTACTTCAACGGGGGGCGAGGAGGGTTTCAAATCATTTTTTTTTCCCATCTCGTATTTTCCACGAGGGGGAAACTACGGGGGAACGATAAGGGGGATGAGAGGGGGAAACTATAAATTTTTGAGTAAACCTTGAAAAAGCGATCAAAAAGTCAACAAAATCGGAGGATGTGTTATGCGTGTTTACATAAAAAAATAAAATAAACTGGTTTAATTGGCATACCGACTTCCTAGGAGTCATTAATAATTAAATTACTAATAAGGTCATGACTCTTCAAATGTAATTAAAATGTTAAAGGGAGAGCCGTAAAGAGGGGGAGAGGGGGGGAGCGAAAGGGCTTTAAATACGTAACCAATTTATTAAATATCAATTTTAAAAAAAATAAAAAAAATTTTTCTCGTCTAACGTAAATAGAAGATGAAGAAGAGTAAGAAAATATAGGAAAAACCAACATTTACACACACCCCCACCCCCCAATTAACGATCTGAACACGTTGTTTCCTTATTTCAACCAAATAGCAATATAATAATAATGATAATGACATCTCGCGCCATTTTGAAAATTTAATCGAATAACGTTTAAAGCCAATGCTTTTCCCCGAATTATTATTATTTCTTTTTTAAAATCATTTATTTGCCAGAGCATTCGTTCGAAATTGTTTTTTACGTTTCTTCCCCCCCCCCCTTTCCCTCCCTTTCCCCACCCAAAATAATAATAATAATAAATGTTCGATTGGGTTTTTCTTATAAATTAACAGTTAAATTCAAACTACTACTACTACCAGTTTCATTGGCAAGATGATAACATCACACAAAATGGCGACAGTCAAAGAAAATTCTTTAAGTTTTTTCCCCCCCTCCCTTTAAAAAAAAAGTGAAATGTTTTTAATGAAAGGAAAAACACTAAACAGGCTTTTAGGTTCGTTAAACAATGGCGTCCTACACACAAGCAAGTGCCTAACTTTATTCATCATCATTCAAGTTTTGTTGTTTGATTAAAAAAAACCTTTCGATTCGTTATTAAGAAGAAGGGAAAATTTTTTTTTATAAAGAAAAAATAAAAAAACCTTTTTACCTTGTTTGATAGAATTGATTTCCGGGGTAAAGGCAACCGGATCCTTTCTGATCATATTGAAAAAAATTTGATCCTTCTAAACAAAAATTTCTGTAACAAAAATAATAAAAAAAAAAAAAACAATTAATTATTAACCTTTGGTAACCCTTTAAAAAAAAAAAAAAAAAAAAAAAAAAAAAAAAAAAAAACAAATCAAATGCAATTTAAATCAAATCACACTGTGATGATGATGATAATAATGTGACCATATAAATTGTTTTATTATTATTATTATCATCTGAATCTATGTTAAAAATGAATGAAAACATGATTGCGATATGTATGCATGCATATTGTCTTGTACATTCATAAAAATCATAATTTTATAAATATTTTTTCCTTTCTTTCGATAAATATTTTAAAAATGACATAAATTTATGTAATTCCCCTCTCCTCCCTTCCCTTCCCCTCCTTCTTCCCTATTCCAATTCCAACTCTTCTTCAATCCAATAATTATTTACCTTTACATTAAAATAATCACACACAATTCGTTTCAAAAATTAAAACCATCACCTTATTCGAATTTTAAAGTTTTACACACGACACACACACACACACACATAAAAATATTATTAATAATAATAATAATTTAAATAAAATAATATGTATGAGTTGTGAAGTTTAAATCAAGCGAATGACTTAATTAAAAAGTTTATATTAAAACAATTTATTTAATGTTAATTCAGCTTAAAAAAATAATAATAATAATAATAATAATCGCAAAAAACATTTCAATTGAATATTGAAAATGATGATTATCACAATGCCCCCACACACACATTTGCACACACATTCGCACATACCACACACAACACTGTTTATAAAATATACAAAAAAGACATTTAACAAAAAAAAAAAAAAATTGTTTAGATACTTGACTTTATATTGTTTGTATGCTAAAAAAAAAAAAAAAATTTTTTTTTATAGAGGTTAAAAGAAAATTTATTTCGCTTAGGTTGTCAATTTAACATTAGTATCATGACACTAAGGTGAACAATTTTCCTTTTTATTCTTAATAATAATAATAAAATAATTTTTCACATCTTTATCAAACCAATTAAAAATATTATTATTATATATTAAAAAAAAAAAATATTTCATACCAAATAAACGATTGATTGAACAATTTATGGCAAATAATAGTTCAAAGGTAAGATGAATGCCTATTTTAATTTTTAATCATAAATTTATGTATTTAAATAATATTTAACAATGGCAACAAAAGTGTGAATAAACAAATAAATAGTTCATAAATAATTTTTTAAATAATCGAATCACATGTACACACATTCATCATCATCATCATCACATCGAGTTTAAATAAGAAAACATGTGTACAGCAGCATAATGCAAAATGATGGATTTTCATGAGAAAATGTGCCTTCTTTTAATCATCATCATCATCATCAATAATAATAATAATATTTTTTTTAAAATTTAATGTAATAATTCATTAATGAAAGGCAAAAATCAGAAAATTTGAGCGGTTGGTAACGATTAAATAAAATTTAAAATGCCAGAAATTTTAAACTCGATATTACTTATTTCGGTTTTAACCACATGAGAAACACATGTCAAACAATTTTATACACACACACACACACACACAAACATATAATTTATCATTATTATTATTACTTTTTTTTTATTACAATTTCAGTTAAATCTCTGGTAACTTTTTTTAAAAAAACTTGAACTGTTAAAAACCAGTTAAAATGAATTCTTTTTTTTTTTATAATTAGAAAACAACAGATTGTTTGAAATAGAAAAAAATCTCTTGCAATGAGCAAACATGTGAATAATAAATAAAATAAATAAATAAAATTTAAAAAAAGGAAAAAAAAAAAAAATCAGCTGATAAATGATTATTAAACTTATTTTCCGAGTAATTTAATTAATAAAAAGAAAAAAATCAACCATAATATTCAAGGTCATATAATAGATAGATATATAACTAGTATATTAATAATGATAATAATTTACATAAAACTCCATAAATTTTAATACTGGTTTTAAATAATTTCAAAAAATCAATTTTTAATAGTAGTTTAAATAATAATAATAATAATGATATGCATATTGGGGTAAAAAATTGAAAGCATCACACATTTTGAGTAAAAAGTAAGAAATTTTATAACCGGGTTCCCCTCCCCCCATTCCTTCCCTTCCTCCCCAAGGGCTGTCGTATTTAATTTATTTTCATAAATTCAAACGAGGGAAAATATTTAAATAATTAAACGTAATTAAAAATAACATTACATTACACAATTCCACGTTTACAATTTGTATTAATATTAAAAAAAAAAAAAAAAAAAAACCACCGCTAATTCCCTTAACGACAGGAAAAAATAATAAAAAAATAAAAAAAAATAAAAAATGGAGGACGCGATTTGGCGTGCAGCATTTTAACACTCGGCCATTTAATAACAATTTATATTAAGGTACTTACGAAAAAAAATTTCTTTCATAGGTTCAACAAGCCCTATTTTTTTTTTTTTTTAACTCCCAACGCACACTTTTCATAAAAAAAAATGCCACATAATAACGTTTTTCCAGTACGTAATTCCCTTTTTTCTTTAAAAAAAATTGTTTTTTATATATATTGTGCTACACAAATGGCGGAGTTTGATTGAAAAAATTCCTTTTGTGCCTTTGTTTTCAAAATTGAAATCAGCATTTCGACGCCGTTTTTAACAATACCGATATATATTTAAAAAAAACTTATATTTTTAATTTATTATATATTGTTATTAATTAAAAAAAAAAAAAAAAAACATTCTCACATTTATTATACTTTACACTTGGAAATTTTTTTTTTTTTAACCAAAAACTAATATATAAAAAAAAAAAAAAAAAAAAAAACCCCTTCACTCACAAAATCCTTACCATTTTTAACATTGGCTTGCAATGGCACACGGCCCTGGAGTCCTCTACTTTACGAGCCATCTGCTACAATCGACCAATCGGAGAGCAGGAAATAAACGTTTGGGATTTTAATTTCCAAAACGTCATGTTTACAATGTTCGTAGTCATAAAACTACAGCAATTTATTATACGACTTGTTCTCTTTTTGAACTCAAAAAAAAACCGCCAAATTTTTTTTTTTTACAAAACAAAACAAATTTAAGTTTATTAAAACTATTTTTTCGACACAAATAATCTTATTTTACGTTTTAAACAATGAATATATAAACGAATTCAATAATTTATAAAAAAAATTACCATTTAACGCGTATTTAAAGGTATGTTACGCATTACTTAACCCTACCTGGTTGAATTTATCATTAACTCATTGATTTTTTTTAAAAAAAATAACAAATTTCTAATAACAAAACCAAATCATTAAATTTAAACGTGAAATTTTAATCGTTTTTAACTCGTACGATCGAAAATACTTTTAAAATCATCGAATTATTTAATAATTTTTTGGTTAGATTTTTCCCGCTAATAAATTGACGCATGCGCAAAACATTTTTACACATTATCAGGGTATTGAAATATAAACGCGGGAACGATGAAATCTTACCCGCACACGTATTTGCTAGAATTTGTTGACTGCGTTTACACCATGACATGGTTGACCTAGTCCGTACATTTAAATACCGTGGATTTTAAATTTTTTAATGGACATTTAAATTTTTTTTTTTTTTTTTTTTTTGCAAACTCACAAATATGATTTTTGTTTCGAAAATTCATACGTTATTAATTTTTAATAAAAGTACAAGGTTAAAAAGATTTTTTTGTACGAAACCCGTCAGAGTGAGATTTGCTCCAAGTCCTACTGGTAATTATTATTATTATTTTAACTTATCGGTTTTATTTTATTTTAAAATTAAACCGTTTTTATATTTGAAAATTTTCAGGATTGTTACATTTGGGCGGTTTAAGAACTGCATTATTTAATTATTTATTTGCAAAATCTCAAAATGGAATTTTCATACTCAGAATTGAAGATACAGATTTAGAAAGGAAAATTGATTTTGCAACTGAAAATTTAATTAAAGATTTAGAATGGTGCGGTATTAAATTCGACGAAGGACCTTATTTCCAAACGGAAAGGATAAACATATATAAAAAATATGCTAAACAGTTATTGGAAAATGATTCTGCTTACTATTGCTTTTGCAGTAAGGAAAGATTGGAATTGTTGAGAAAAGAAATGATAAAAACGGGGGAAGTCCCAAGATACGATAATAATTGCAGACACATGTCAAAAGATGAAATCGATGATAAACTTAAAAGTGGAAGTCAACCCTGCATAAGGTTTAAGGTATTATCACTAAACCTTCCTTAATTGTTTTCATAGAATTAAATCGAATATAAATTAAAAATATTTTTAATTAAAGTTAACAAAATATAATGAACCGATACCTGATTTAATTTTCGATTCGATCAAACATGATGTCCATGAAGTCGAAGGAGATCCGATTATATTAAAAGCAGACGGCTTTCCGACATATCATTTGGCTAATGTTGTCGATGATCACTTGATGAAAATTTCGCATGTTTTAAGAGGAGTCGAATGGCAGATATCAACAGTAAAACATATTCTTCTCTACAAGTAAACAACAAGTTAATAAAATATGATTTTTTAAAATAGTTTATTATTCTAATTTGAAATAAATTTTTTCAGAGCATTCAATTGGACTCCTCCTTTGTTCGGTCACATTCCTTTACTATTAAATGCAGATGGTTCGAAATTATCTAAAAGGCAAAATGATATCAACATCCAACAGTTAAGAAACAATGGTTACTTTTCGAATGCCATATTAAATTTTGTTATCAAATCGGGAGGTGGTTTTAACATTAATCACGATGAAAAATGTACAAAAATATTTTTAATGAATGAATTAGTGAATGAAGTAAGTAAAATTATATTTAAAAAGAATCATTTTAAGATATTTTCTATGGTTTTTGAGAAAAAACACTTTTTTACAGTTTAATGTATCGAGAATAAGTAACATTTCATCGAAAATTGATTTGAAGGATTTAGATTGTTACAATCATTTTGAAATAGAAAGAATGCTTGAAACAAATGAGGGAACAAATTCATTAATTGATCAAGTATTGCAATTACTTTCAGAAAAATATAAAAAGTTACAAGAATATAACATAACTGATATATGAAATCGAGTAAGAATGACATTTCACATATTAATAATAATAATAATATTTGTTTTAGTGTGACTTTGGATGAGTGCGTTTTAAAACGGGATTACATAAAACAAATATTACATAAAATGAAAAAGAGAATTGTTAATTTAAAAGATTTGATTTCGAATGAAAATTCATTTCTATGGTTTTGGGATGGTCAAATAAAAATAAATGAAAATGATGCAATCATAGTTGAAAATTTTTTAAGGGATATTGATAATATCGAATGGACGTTTGAAGGAATAAAAATATTTAATAAAAAATTTGCTGCGGATAATAAAGTGAAATTTTCCGACTTAATGAAAATATTTCGTTTCATTTTAATTCGTGCAAAGGTGGAAAATATTTTTTTTGGTTAAATTTAATTTATATACTAATTCATTATTTTTACCTTATTGCTTATTTATTATTTTCAGGAAGGTCCGGGCGTTGCTGAAATTTTATTAATTTTAGGAAAAGATGTTGTTCGACATCGTTTGAGTGTTGCTTTAAATAATTTTCAAGCATTATGAATTATTTCTGCGTTCAAAAATCAAAAAACATCCGTTGAAAATCTCTTTTTATGGTAACTGATTACATGCATTACAAAAGTTTATCCATAAAATTTGATTTAACGCGGATATCTAAAAAAAAAAACCGTTATTGATTAATAATTAAATTATTAATAATATTTAAAAACTATTATCATTATTTTTTTTTTTTAAATAAAACTTTAATTATTAAAAAATTTCGTTAAATCTTTTCTCTCTTTACCATTAAAAACGTTAATTATGACGTCATCAACATTCCATTAATTTTAACGGAAAATTTTTCTCGTCTGCATCAAAAAAGGAAAAAAAACCGTTAAAGTTTTCTTTTTAAATAAACGATCGAGATAAAAAAATTAAAAAATACAAAATATATAATAATAATAATAATAAAAACCTAAATAACAATTTGTAAAAAAAAAAAAAAAAATAGGAAAAAAATCGATCAGAGTAAATCGATGAAAGCAGAAGCGCCAGAATCCGAATAAGAACCAGAATTTGAAGAATCGTTCATGAACGAATCCTCATCATCATCATCATCTACGTCATCATAATCGTTCGTTATTATGACGTCACTACGTAAATTTTCTTTAACGTTTTCTTTTACGTTCTTTTCTTGGGAATCATTTTTTTTACCGTTTGAACAATTTTCTTCTTCTTCTTCTTCCGAATCCGTCAACATCAAATCGTTTTTTAACATTCTTCTCGGCGTCATATCCGCGATTATTTTACTCGTTAAAGATGGCGTCGTTTTACAATCAATCACCTGATATATAGTTTTTTCATTTATCATGACGTTTTTAATTTTTTCCAAACATTTTTCCGGCGTTTCCAATCTCACCAAACCCGTCAAACTCATTGTCATTTTAAAATCTCCCGGAAGTTTTTTTTCAATATGGCGTCCATCATTCTCATCCTCTTTTTTCGTTATCGGTTTGAAAAATTCAAAAAAAGAAATGTCTTCTTTCATAGGAGTCCCACTGGATTCTTTTCCATCTTTTTTTTCGACCATCATCATCGAATCTTTCCCGTTTCTGTCAAAGTTTTCCAAACTTTTCTTTTCCATTTTCTTACACGTCGTCGTCGTCGTCGTCGTCACCGATTCTTTTTTTTCCATTTTGTTTTGTTTTTCCGGTATTTGACTTTCGATTCCTCCTTGTCCGGAACTTAATTTTCTTTTCCTTTTATTCTCTTCTTTTTTTTTTATTACTTCTTTCTCCGTCAAATTTATTTCTCGTATTTTATTTTGACTAGTTTCATCAGACTTGTGTTCGTTATTACTGCTGTTGTTTTCTGATGTCTCACTTCCAGAACAACAACTACTCCCATTAGTTTTCTTTTTCTTTTTATAATTTTTCGAAAGATTTTTATCCGTTTTCTGGATGGTGGGAGACGTTTCGATGGGATTTTTATTTTTTTTCACATTTTTTGTTTTTTTCTTTCCATCATTTTCATCAAATGTTTTCGAACACTTATCCGAACAATTACTAAACGTTTTCCCGTCGGAACTTTTCGGAGATGACGTCATCGATGATTTATCCGTTTTCTTTTTTTCCTTTTCTTTGTTTTTCAATAATTTTTCTTCTTCCGCCGGAAGAATGGGTTTCGATGGTGACGTAGTCATTAAAAAAAAATCTAAAAATTGTGTTGTTTCTCCAGGACCGGATTCGACGGACATGTTTTTATCAACCCCTTCTTCCCCTTCTTCTTCTTCTTCCACGCTTTCCTTCATCGAACATTTATTTTCACCGGAATTTTTATCCGTTTTAATATTTCCCCCATTTTCCGATCGTAAAAATTCTTTTTCTCCAATTATTTTGTCATTTCTTTTCACTTTCGATTGTTTTTTATAATTAATTAATTTTTTTTTCGAATCCGATTTTCCATTTCCGTCCGAC